ATGTATGTATGTATGTATGTATGTATGTATGTATGTATGTATGTATGTGTATGAACCTTGTATGTGTAGTGCCCATGGAGGCCACAGACAGTATCATAATCCTCTGGGACTGAAGTTACAGACTGTTTTGAGTCTCCATGTAGGTGATGAGAATCAAATTTGGGTCCTCTGAAGATCAGCTAATGCTTGCAAGCACTGAGCCATCATCTCTCTGGCCCCTTGAATAAAAGGATTCTTTGTAGAAACTCCATCAGTGTTTAACACTACATTTGCCAGAAAAAAAAAGAGAATAAAATTATTAACAAGTGATTGTCATAAAATTTGTGTTTATTTTATGCAAGTGTTTTATGAGATATATGTGCTTCCTAACATATTTAATCACCATTTTCCTAAAAAGCAAGGAAATTACTTTATTGATATTGATAAAACAAATTTTGTTTATGAAGCAATATTGGTTTCAAAATTTGCATATATTTTTCTCTTAATTGTAATTTATCAGAAATATTTGGTGAGATGAGAACCTTTTGTTTATTAGTGATTGGGCAGCTGAAATTTTATTTTAGATCTTTTCTTGGTTTCTCCTGCTAATGAAATGGTAATTGTGTGTGGTGAAGGAATCATGTTAGATTAAAGTTATATTAATTTAAGCTACTATACACGTTTTGCCCTCCTGTGATGTGCTGTTGGGGTGCATGGAAGTGTGGGTGAAATACTTGGGGATCTTGCTATGTGATGTCACTTTATCACCCATTCATAGACCTGTGAGGGCAGAGGCTGGATGGCAAGCAGCTGGAGTCCTGTTGGGTTCTCAGCTATGGCATTGTTGTTGACAGCAGGCCCTTATGTCCCTGGTCCAGAACCCTTAGTGGACCTTTACTTCCTAGAGTAGAGCATGAGGTTCCCAGACGCTGCTCTAGGCCTCCTTTGTGGTGACTCCTTTCTTACTTCCAAGGTTCCTATCTGTAAGCCACCTGTGTCAGGGGTCTCTTGGGGTCCTAGAACATGCTGAGAAGAGATGAGAGAGACTGAGGCTTTCTCTTTTCAGATGGCAGGCTTCTTATCATTCTTTTTTTTTTTTTAATTGCAGTGATGTGGTGATCAGTACACAAAGACACTATACCTCATTTTGCTGGGATCACACACTAAATATTGTTTCTTGCTGTCTTCCAGACAAGAGTGGTCTCCGCCAGTCAAGAAACCCTCAAAAGCATTTTACCATGGACATAGAAGATGAAGAGAATATGAGTAAGATCTAGGTCTATCGAATAGTGCCAAAGTAGTTCACGTAAAATTAAAATTTTAGCGTTTTTATAAATTTGATCAATAAGAGCAGTTTGATGTTTTGTACGATGTGGGCTGTTGGCAGTGGTGGGTTTTTATATAATAGACATAAATATTTACTGTGGACATTTTCCTTACAGCCACCTATCTAGAGTTTTCATTCCTCATTATCATCATGGGACCATCATTTTTATTCCAGAAACATGCCTCTAGGTGCCTGTCTCATAATGCTGTGCGGCTTCATGTGAAGTTGTGGTTCTTATACTAAAGCTCTGAACTTTCACCAGTATAAACTCAAGAAAATCTTTTTGATTGACTCAGATACCTGGTCACTGGGATAACAGTTCATAAAGCTCCCTTCAGACACAGTCACTGCTCCTGCACTGGAGGGAAGGCTGTCCACGTGATCTTAAATCTCTGAAGACTGGAACGCGATTGGTGCTAGTGTGAACCAAACCCTCACTGGGGCTTTCTGCTTGCCACACCGTCCTCCACGGGGCTGTGGGTATGGGGCCTCAGGCACAGCGGCGTTTCCTCCCTTGGCATTGTTCTTTGTGAGTTAACAGTCACTTCTGCCCACTCTCAGTCCCAGAGAGGAACAGGTCTAAATGGGAAGTTGCCTGGAAGAAGGCACTTTCCCAGCTAAGGTGCTCTGTCTGTAGGAAGAGCATGCAGCTGCACAGCAGAACCAAATTGTCCTGGGGGTGGTATGGCCGTGAGAGCCAGGCTTAGCACACTCTCTGGAACTCAGCCCAGTGGACACCAGAGCCTAACAGCACCATGTGAGGCAACTCTGAGCCCCCACGGCTGCACTGGATCTGGGGTGTGCTGTGCAGCAGACATCCTCTACTCTGAGAATGGCCACTGGCCAGCATGAAGCAGCTGCCCAGTGCCACTGTGAGTAGTGTAGCTGGCATTCATTTGCCTTTGCTGATGTGGGCACTGCCCACACCTTATTGGTTGCTTCTCATCAGTTCTGCTCTTGAGATGTTCTAAGCTGTGGAATTTTGCTGGCAGATCCACCCATCACTCTCAGCTTTGCCAGGTTTTAAACTCTGCGTTTCAGACAGTATTGCCACTGGTGTGCCAACCCAGTAAACTTCCCCTCTACCACGGGATGTGTAAAGGTGTCCCTAAAATTACCTATTAGCTGGGGACTGTGGGTTATGTCTTTAGCTGTGGCCATAGCCATTGAGCCTTGGGTAATTTAACTAAGGAAGGGTCCCCCCCCCCAATAATATTTCTGTAAAAGTAAACTTTTGGGTCTAGTGCAAACTTTTCAGATGTCAGGCCTGCCTTTCTTGTGATTTTTGAAAGCAGTAGAAGTTCCACTGTAATTCACTTCACATTCTGAGTGCATCAGTGTGGTATGTAGAGAGAGAGTGCTCCAGCTGAGAGTGGGCTCTGTCTCTAATTAGATTATTTTATATTTTTTGCTCAGGAGCATTTTCTTGATAATATGTGATGGGTACTTTTGCTTCTGAAGCATGAGTTGAGAATGATTTCAACTTTCACAGAAAGTGTATTTCTCTCTTAATCTTGCTGTTTGGCATCACTAATGTTTGGCTAAGTGTATGTTGGAGTGCCTTGCTGATGACATGCATTTCTCTTCTGATAATTCTGTTTACTGGGAACTTGAACTGTGAGCAGAACGTAGTATGTGATGTTCTCCCCTTTATTAATCTCTCTACCTGTCTTTGCTCTGCCTTTTCATCTTTTGTTCCGTGAGTACCGAAAGGAGTAACCTACCGGTCTTTTGCTGGAGGATGTTATAAATGAAAATTTAGTGCCCATTCCATTAGCTTTGTCAGCTGGGAGAAGTGGTGTGTGTGTCGGGAGTATTCTGGGAAGGGATGTCTATTGAGAGACCCCCTCCCCACCACACACATGAGATTTTCCATGGACTGAGTTTATCTTGGTAGTCTTTGCTGTCTCAGCTGAATAATGACGACCCTTAGGCATCTGTGATCCTTAACTCCAGAGACTGACAGCAACAACCAAGATGTCCATAACATTAACCCTGCCCACGGGCTTGCCGAGGAACATTTTTAGTGTTTTCAGATTGTTTGACATAAAGAAAACCTGTTGGTGTGGTGCATGGTAGAAATCGACCCCCAAAGCTACTGTGTTTAGGAATATTTTCATCAGTTAAGACTTACTTTGGATTTTAGGAGCTAGCGGCTGGAGATCACACTGCCCAGGCCCAGAGCACAGGACCGCAAAACTGAATGATAAAAGAAGAATTATTTTTTTCTTTTTTTAGGAAGCTTGATAAACTAGGGAGGACCTAATACACCCCACTTTGAGAGAATAGTCTTTTTGCCTGGTGGGAAGTTAAGACAAGGTCGTGGCTATACAAGTAGCCTATTCTGTCCTCTCTCAACCCCCTTCTCAGTGGTAGAATAAGAGATCTGCATCACCATGCCTGACATTTATTTCCCTTTTAAAGATCAAAATCATCTTATTTTGCTATGTAGAGTACATTTAAAAGGTATGGTCACCAAGTTATTCTGGAAACCGACCAGCTGTTTTTAGAAAGGCAGGTTTGCTGACATATTGTGAAATTAGGGAGCACAGCTTTCCTGCTGCTCCAGTTCTGTGTCTTGTTCTTATTTTTTTTCTAGCATAAATTCTGTTAAAGATTCTGAAGCAAATAGTGTTTAAATATAATGAAAAATATTCAGTGGATGCATCATTCTTCAAAAATAAGTTCTGTGAAGTCCTAATACTTTACCTTATTAGATAAACAGTTTTCTATGATTGATGCATAAACTAAGACACAAATAATCACATGTTGATTAGGTATTTGGAACCTCAAGTGAGCTGTAAAAACAGATTTCTAGATGGCACCCTCCTCTTCTGAGAAGTGCTGTAGTTTAAAACCTGTGTCGGTTGAGATTAGTGACCTTGCAAAGGAATCGTATGCTGAGATAAATAAATGCCTTTGTGCTGGTGAATTCAGAGGCCACTTTCTCAGACTTGTTGTGAGTCTTGTGGATTAACTTAACATCTAACATCTTGATAAGACAGAGCTATATACGATGTCTTTGGCAGAGAAAATAGCTTAAAATTTTTATTTTCTAATGGAGAAGAAATTGTTGAACTAACTAGAAGAGGCAATAGGTGTTAGTTTAAAAAAAAAAATCTCAAAGTACATTCCAGCCCCTAACAGTTACATCTTTGGTTAGTGTGTAGTTCCTCACATTTGCATTGAGGAAGGAAATATACACACACACATCACTCACCCAGCTACAAAGAGATAAAGGAATCTATAAATTTTGCATTTACAAGATCCTGCAACGAAGGCGTTGTAAGTTACTCTTTCTGGGCACCACAGGTTCCAGCAGCACTGATGTTAAGGAAAACCGCAATCTGGACAACATGCCCCCCAAGGACAGCAGCACACCTGGGCCTGGCGAGGGTCTTCCACTCTCCAACGGGGGTGGTGGTAGCACCAGCAGGAAGCGGCCCCTGGAGGAGGGCAGCAATGGCCACTCCAAGTACCGCCTGAAGAAGCGAAGAAAAACACCGGGGCCTGTTCTGCCCAAGAACGCCCTGATGCAGCTGAACGAAATCAAGCCTGGCTTACAGTACATGCTGCTGTCCCAGACAGGACCCGTGCATGCGCCTCTGTTTGTCATGTCTGTGGAGGTGAATGGGCAGGTCTTTGAAGGCTCAGGCCCCACAAAGAAAAAGGCAAAACTCCATGCTGCTGAGAAGGCCCTGCGGTCTTTTGTTCAGTTTCCCAATGCCTCTGAGGCCCACCTGGCCATGGGAAGGACCCTCTCTGTGAACACAGACTTCACGTCTGACCAGGCTGACTTCCCTGACACACTCTTCAATGGCTTCGAGACTCCAGACAAGTCAGAGCCACCCTTCTATGTAGGCTCAAATGGAGATGACTCCTTCAGCTCAAGTGGAGACGTTAGCCTCTCTGCCTCCCCAGTACCTGCCAGCCTCACTCAGCCTCCTCTGCCCATCCCACCACCATTCCCGCCCCCAAGTGGGAAGAATCCTGTGATGATCTTGAATGAGCTGCGCCCAGGGTTGAAGTATGACTTCCTCTCTGAGAGCGGGGAGAGCCATGCCAAGAGCTTTGTCATGTCCGTGGTGGTAGATGGCCAGTTTTTTGAGGGCTCAGGGAGAAATAAGAAGCTTGCCAAGGCCCGGGCTGCACAGTCTGCCTTGGCTACTGTCTTCAATTTGCACTTGGACCAAACACCATCTCGCCAGCCTGTTCTCAGTGAGGGTCTTCAGTTGCATTTGCCACAGGTGAGGAAAAATGTGTGCTTGCAAATGAGCGGACATTGCCCTTGACATTTTAAGCAACCTTTAGTCTTCACTATTGCTTTTGACTCCTTATGTGATTAAGCCCTCAGCAGGAGCAGTTGCTGGTAAGTCTGACTATGGAGTGACTTTGTCTCAGTTTCCATGGTCACTTGGTCACTGAGAATCTGATTTAGTCTCCTGATGCTCACTAGGGTCATGATAGTGCAGAGCAGGGATACCTCAGGGCCCTCACTGGGACAGCCACAATGTGTTTCCATTTAATTATGCCCCTAAGCAAGCCTTTAGTGGCAGTGGGGCAGGGAGCCCAAATTCTGGCATTTTGTCCTCTGTTCAGTGGGGCATCCTTTGAGTAATTGTACAGAGAGACTGTGCTCAGAATAAGGACTGCAGGCCCATCTGCAGCTGAAGGCCCCTGTTGAGGTCAGGGTGATGGGGCACTACCCCCAGAGTAGTAGGGAACATACGCTGGCAGGGCAGGGGGAACCCTTTCATAAACACTCCAGAACCTGCTGGTTGCTAGGAATCTCTATATGCCAAACTTCCTATGTGACAGCTGTGTGGGCTTCTCCCTGTTCCGTGTGGGTGTGGACAGCCACTCAAGTTTGTGACCCTTACAGAAAACTCACATTAAGGAAAGGGAAATGTAAGGTAGCTCAGGATGGGTCTCTGTGAGAGGACGAAGGAAAAGGGACCTTCAGTCCTCACCAAGTCCCAGATCACTCTGTCTTGGCTCTAGAAACCCCTGATTTCACTGATCTGTTTTTCAGTCTTTTATCTTAATTTCTTTTTGTCCAACGTTCTTTAGTGTAGGAGCAATTGACCAGAATTAACGAATTAACATGTTAGAAAATGGGGTGAATAGGAAGACTTGCACTCTCCTGGGACCCGGGTGTGGCCCTTTCTCTTTGGCCTGTGATATAGCTAGAGTTGGGGTGACCATGGTTCTTGGTTTTAATTTACTGTTCTGTTTTTTTGTTTTGTTTTGTTTTGTTTTGTTTTTAAGACAAGGTCTCATTATAAGCTCTGTCTGTCCTGGACTCACTGTAGACTAGGCTGGCCTTGAACCCACAGAGATCTGTCTCTGCCTCCCAAGTACTGGGATTAAACCCAAATCTTGTTTTTGAAAGACTTATTCTGCTTTGCCTAAAGCAACCAAGTGCAACTCAGTCTAAAGGAATGGATTTGTTTTACTGACTTTCTGTGACAAGCAAGTACCTGTTTCCCCATTAGTCCCTTGTTAACATCACTCCAAGAATAACCAACTAGTCCATTAGTTATTTTACAAATCAGTGGTACTAGGTCCCAAGTGACTTTTATTTCCAGGCTTGGATTTGCTAAAATCTTTTGGCAATTCAGTATCATCTGATGATACTTGTCTTCCCTTAATTTTAATGGTGGTAGCAAGACCACTGAAACTGTTTCAGATGCTGCAGATCCCACAGAGGGATAGCAGAAAGATGGTCTGAGGGCAGGTGGCTTCAGCCCTGCTTTCTCTTTTGTTGTTTTGTTTGGTTTTGAGACAGGATAGTTTGTCTATGTAGCCCTGATGGTCCTTGGAACTTTCTACTTGACGCAGGACCTCAAACTTACAGAGATCTGCCTGCCCCTAGGAGTGCTGTGATTAAGGGCATATGCCACCACACCGGGCTAGCCCTGCCTTCTTGAATGGCTGCCTTAATGGCTTTGCATGGAAAGGACTGAGCTCCTGACCTGAGGAGACAAGAGGCATTTGTCAGGTTCTAGTCGTGGTGAGGTCGGCTAGGTGCCTCCCTGCCTCTTTATGCTGCTTTCCTCTGGGTGCTGAGATGGCAAACATTAATTTCTGTACCTCTAATTTGGAGCCACTTGAGTCTGAAAACAGTGTCCTTACATCTCTGCTCAGTGGCACAAGCACCACTGCCCCCTTTAAGTCCCTAGGCTAGCTCAGAAATTTATGAACCACAGAGGATGGAGCCAGTAAGGTCTTTTTAGAGTAGACTTCCAGGACTAATTCCAGTGTCTGTATGGCAGGGTTACAACCTGAGGATGTAAAATTTTTTTTCCTGAAATAGCTCTTAAAGGGCTTGGGCCACGCATCGCTGGGCTGAGAACTATCTGCCTTCCTGATATTCAAGGATGGTATATGGCTATAAAGACAGAGAGTGTTGGCTACACTATAACTGTGACACTCTGCTATAGCAGGCTTGCCAGTGTGGTGTAGCCAAGCATCAACTGTAAAACAGTCTTCACCCTTGTTCATGTCACTGAAGGTGAGTGGTTGGGATGTACGATCTTTTATTTTATTATTTTATTTTATCGAGACAGAGTCTCCCTGTGTAGTTCTGGTGCCCTGAAACTCAGTATCTAGACCAAGTTAGGCATGAACTCACAGAAGTCAGCCTGCCTCTGCTTCCCAAGTGCTGGGAATTAATGGCACAGGTCACCACTCCCAGCTGCATTTAGGATCTTTATACTTTTGTTGTGTGCAGCTCCAGCCACACAGGGGAAGAGGTCCAGAAGACCTTTTCAGAGAGCCAGAGCTACTTGGGTTGTTTAGCTGCCCATATCTCACAGTGTACACCCCATAGGCACCTGGCTCATGTTTCATGGGCTCAGGCTTCTGCAGGAAAAGCATTTGGAGCTGTGTCTACCCTTATATGAAATAAAAACTTTTAAAACTTATATCTGGAGAGATGGCCCAATGGTTAAGAGCACCAGCTGCTTTTCTATAGGACCTGGGTTCGATTCCTAGCACCCACAGGGAGGCTCACAACCTTCTGTAACTTCAGTTCCATGGATTCAGACACCTTCCTACCTATGCACAAAGAATAAAATTAAGTAAATTTTTAAAAATTATATTTAAAAAATTTATCCTTTCACAATTTCACATATATTTCTTTAATCATTTTCTCCTTCCTAGTATCTCTCTTACTCCTTCCTATTTCCACTGAACTTTTTCCAAACAAGACCCCCTCCTACCTTTATGTCTTTTTGTTGTGGCCTGCTGTATTTAATTAGGGTTGCTTGCATGAGCATGGGTGAGGACTTATTTACTTGAGCAAGGTCTATTTACCAGTAGCTACAGCAATGAGGAAAATAACTTTCTCCCCAAGCAGCCATTAACTTCCTATATTCTTTAGGGAGGGCTAGAACTGTAAAGACATTCCCTTTTTCAGTATTATGCTTACAATCAAGAATCACTGGGAAAACAGTCTTTTTTTTTAAGATTTATTTATTAGTATACAATGTGTGTTTGTATGTACACCTGCATACCAGAAAAGGGCATCAGATTTCATTTTAGATGTTTTGAGCCACCATGTGGTTGCTGGGAATTGAACTCAGGACCTCTGGAAGAGTAGCCCTTGCTCTTAACCTCTGAGCCATCTCTCCAGCCCTGGGAAGGCAGTCTTAACGAAGCATTGTCTATATTAGGTTGGCGTGGGGCATGTTTAGGGGTGGAGAGTAGCTTAATTATGTTAATTAATGAGAAGACCCACCTGATGTGGGTGGCACCTTTCCCCAGCAGGGAGCCCAAGTTTGTCTAAGAACAGAAAAAGCAAACTGAGCACTAGAATACATGCATTACTTCTCTGCTCTCTGCTCTTGACTGTGGATATAACGTGACCAGTTCTCTCAGGCTCCTGCTGCTCTGACCTTAGACTGTAACCTGTAAGCTAAATAAGCACTTTCTTTCTTAAGCTGCATTTGCTAGGGTTTGTTTTTGGTTTTTTTTTTTTTTTGTTTTGTTTTGTTTTTTTAATCACAGCAACAAGGAAAGAAACTAATACACTAATCTGTAATAGAGTGTTGATAGAACCCAGCCTTGTTCAAGCCTTGTGCTGGTAACCATTACCAGTACCCATGTGACAGCTGTCATGTCTAAAAGACAGTGTTTCTCAGTACTTCTGCACATCCTCCATCTCCTACATTTCTTCTATCCCTTTTCTACAATGTTCCCATAGTCTTGCAGGGATTAATATGGATGTTTTGTTTAAAGCTAAGCTTTCAACAGTTCATTCCCATCGCTTTTACAAGTTATCAGTCACTGCATTCAGTGATGCAGAGTGCAAAAAGATGTGCTTCTCTAAGACTAGGGGCAGCACTGAACTTTAAGTGCAAACATAAATATTTACAAAACAGTTTGACAGCATGTCTGTTTAGCAAAACATCAGTAGTGGCTTCCTTTCTAAGACTTAAGCTCTTAGGCTTGGGCTTTGGACCAGGTTTACAATGCCAGGCATGAGTTCTCTTTTTCAGAGTGGGCCTCCAATTCAGTGGTAAAGTGGTGGTTACCCCCATAATAGTCATGCCACAGTTGCATCAGTGTGCCCATGTTGCCAGGCACATAGGGTCCATGGCTAGATAAAAGTACTGATGACTTTTCTCCTTGTTCACCCATTCATGCATGTGTGAACACACACACGTTTGCTGGGTGTGGCTGTGTGGGTTTTCTAGAGTAAAAGTGAGACTATACAAGTCTTTGCATTAGACAGCATGTGTTGACATGAGAGAGACTGGTTCTACCACAACACCACCACCACCACCACCTCCTGCCACCCCCGGCACTAAACTTGGTCTCTGCTTTTCACCCAGGTATTGGCAGATGCCGTCTCACGCCTGGTCCTGGGTAAGTTCAGTGACCTGACAGACAACTTTTCCTCCCCTCATGCCCGAAGAAAAGTGCTTTCTGGAGTAGTGATGACCACAGGTAAGCATCTAGCCCTTTGTTCAGCCTGTCTGCTTTCTGGTTTGAAAACCATAAATGCCCTCAGTCTTGTGACACTGAAAGTTGCCTTTTATCTTTTTATCTTTATGCACTTGCCATATACAAATACAGGAATTGTCCTCAGAAGCCTTTCTTCCTCCTTAGGAAAGAGAACATAGCTTAGGGGACAGAACACATGTTTATCACTCAAGATTCCTGAAGTCAATGCCCAGCAAACTGTCCCTCCCAAAAATATTCCTCCAAAATGTTCAACTTTTAAAAAAGGATTTGTGTGTGTGTGTGTGTGTGTGTGTGTGTGTGTGTGTGTGTGTTTTGCCTATTTGTATGTAAGTGTACTACACATATATATAGCGGCCTCAAAGGCCAGAAGAGAGTATTAGGTTTCTTTTGAAACTGGAGTTACAGATATTTGCTGTGTGGGTACTGTGAACTAAACCTGTTCCTTTGTAAGAGCAGCAAATGCTCTTAACTGCTAAGCTATCTCTTTAGCCCCCACAACATTCAACTTCCTGACCTGTCTTTTCCTGTGGAGAGAGCACAGTATATATGTTACCAGGTGACGTCATTTTGACTCTGGAAACAGCATATTACTGATTTTCTCTTCTGTTGAAGCTTAGACCTTTCCTGCTTTATTAGTGTCACTACTGCCGCATCGGGGCGGTTTCTGTGGAGAGCAGGGGAAACTCTTGTGAAAACAGAAGATCTGGGAGGTTTGTAAAGCATGATCTCAGAGGCCAGTGGTTCAGAAAGAGTTTAAAAATGGGGCTGGGTGAAGCCAATTAATCTAAGCATATTCATTCTCATTCTTCGTCTTTCTTCCTGTTTCTTTCTTTCTTCCTCTCCCTTCCTTCTCCCTCATTCCCCCACCCAAACTCATACTCATAAACACAGCCCTTTCCTGGTAACCATGATATCTGACTTGCCCTACCACACCCTCCCCCCACAATGGACTGCAAACTGCAGAAACTCAGCCAAAGTTAAAAAAAAAAAAAATCCGAATCCCTCCCTTTAGTTTTCTCATGAATTTGTCACACCAGTGACAAATATGACAGAAACTTGGTGCCATCTGTGATACCAAGTGAAGTTGTTGCTGTATGTGGTTCAGAAAAACCTTTTGGAAGTGGCTAGTGGGAGGAATTTTAGAAAAGTTTGGAGATGTGGGCCAGAAAAGCACTAGAGTGTGTTAGCTCAGCTTAATGAGTGATTCCTCAGAGCTTGGAAGACCAGGGCAACTAAACATGGAGGTAAGGTTCCCGGTGGGAACCCAGAATGTGCTGGAAATTTGCGTTCCAGTGTGGCAAAGAGCTCATTTACAGTTTGCCAGTTGCCCCTGTTCTTCCCATTTGGAATGAGAGGTTTGTTGTGTTCTGGGAATATATAAAATGTGCTTTAGTTGTTACAGGGGCTCACAGCTAAGATTTTGCCTTGAATCTCGGTAGACCTTCACATTTGAACAGTGTTGGGACTGTTAAGATTACTTCTTAGAAGAAGTAAAATAACTGGATTTTTTTGTTTGTTTGTTTTTTTCCAACTGGATTTTTAATTAACATCCTTTTGGAGACCAAGGATGAAATGATGTTTTAAGGTGTTTGGTTGTCAGGCTGAGGAGGGGTGGCCTTAGGATGGCTACTCTTGATTGTCAGCTTGATTTGAGAAATGCCTAGGTGTGTCTGTGAGGACATTTCCAGAAGGGACTAAGCCTGAATGTGGATGGCACTGTTCTATAGGCGAGAGGTTCAGGTGGAATAGAAAGGGAAAGAGAAGGCCCATGAGTACAGGCAATCTCTCTGCTTCTAACCACCATGAGTTAAGCTGTTCTGTTCCACTTTGCCATGATGGACCAACCCTCTAATTGTTAGTCAAAATAAAACATCCCCTTGCCCCCCTTTAGATTTCTCTCTCAAGAATTCTGTTACAGAAAACAGAAAAGACTAATGATACCAGTCACCTCAAGGACTAGCCTTCTGTATCTTTTTCTGACTGTTTGTTTGCTTGTGGCCAAAACATGTGTGGAAAGCCAGTGAAATAGAATTGGGTACATATAGGTTCCGTGTTCTCACTGTTTGAATGGCCTCAGGCAGCTTATTAATTCCTGTGAGCTGAATTTCTTTTCTTCAGAATGGAAACAAAAGCTCCTCAGAGGACACAGTGGGGACAAGCAGTGAGGGTGATTTGCTAACACTTCTGGCATAGTGCCTCCCACATAGCCTGTGCCTTAGTTCCTTTTCTTGTTGCTCTGCGCAAATACCCTGATAAAAGCAGTTTAGGTGGAGTTACTTCAGCTCATAGTTGGAGAATCCCATCACAGTGGGGAAGTCACTTGGCAGGAGCTTGAGGCCGCCGATCACATTGCATCTGCAATCAAGAGGGAGAAGATGAATGTTTTGTTCAGCTTCCTTTCCTCTCATGCAGTCTGGGATCCCAGCTCAGGGAATGGTGCCGCTCACAGTGGGCAGCAATTAATCTAATCAAGAATATCTCTCATAGGTATGCCCAAAGGCCAACCTGGTCCAGATAACCCTTTACAGATTTGCCTAGAGACTTAGTCAAGTTGACAGTTAACACTAACCCTCACAGCATGTAGCACACATCTATTTCAGCCATTCTGAGTCTTGCTGTAAAGCCATGATCAGGATTGGTTTATAGATGCTGTTGGGTTTGTTTGTTTGTTTGTTTGTTTGTTTGTTTGTTTTGTCATACATTGTATCCCAGGGCCTCATACATACTAGGTATGTGTTCTACCAAATAGGACACATTCCCTTCCATATTTAGGTCTTTGTGGCATGTCTGGGTCAGTGATCTGTTTCGCAGGATTTAATCATGAAGTTCTCTCCCTGGAAGGTCACATTGTGTGTGATTTCACTCTTGGTGTGGCTAAGTGTGAAAAGTTGCTAATGAAACCATGGAAGCTGATTCTGTTTTCTTTCTTGGCGCTCTTGAGCCTGTAAGTCTTTCCTTCTAGCCTCTTAAACATTTTATTTTAGAGACTAGTTCCAGGCCAGTTGGTATTTGTGTACAGTGCTTCTTACCTATAGTCAAGAATGATTGTTCAAACACCCATGCATGCCAGTGGAAATGACCACATGAAGTTTAGGCTGTGGACTACAGGGTGAGGAAGGTAGCCTCCTGGAAATGGTGCACAACAGAGCTTCAGGGAGAGGCTGTTAGGTTCAGGTTTCTCAGGTAGGAATCAGGAGACACAAAGATACGTGAAAACAAGCTCAAGTGTTCAGCTGACCCTGAATGGTCCAGTTGCCAAGGGCACATGTCAAACAGAACAGAATCATTAGCTGCCAGTCACTCTCCTGTCTTTCAGGTACAGACGTCAAAGATGCCAAGGTGATAAGTGTTTCAACAGGGACGAAATGTATCAACGGTGAATACATGAGTGACCGTGGCCTCGCACTAAATGACTGCCATGCAGAGATAATCTCCCGAAGGTCCCTGCTCAGGTTTCTTTATGCACAGCTTGAGCTTTATTTAAAGTAAGTTTAGGAGTAAACAAGTGAAGGAAGCTATTTAAAAATACTTTCTGTCAGAAAGCATTGCATAGCCTTTACTTGTTTCTATAAGCATGGAGTTCTCAGGACTGTAACTGTGTGAGGAATACTAAGGCCAAGCCTTGCTCTCCTGTGATGCTGCCTGAGCAGGTCCCATTCTCCCATGATGTTCAGATATGAACTAGAGTGGACCAAGTCATAAACACACACACATGCATACTTATATAAGACATATACACAAAAACATAGCATAATCAGAAATTTCAATTCCATAATTTAAGATGTTTTTTTTTTCTTCTTATGTATTGTGAATATAAACATGCCCTCCTAGCTGGGAGGTGGTGGTGCATGCCTTTACTCCCAGCACCAAGAAGGCAGAGGCAGGTAGATCTCTGAGTTCAAGGCCAGCCTGGTCTACAGAGCTAATTCCAGGACAGCCAGGGCTATACAGAGAAACTCTGTCTTGAAAAGCCAAACAAACACACACACACACACACACACACACACACACACACACACACAAACAAAAAAACAAAACAAAACAAAAAACATGCCTTCCTAATCTGCCTGGTGAAGATTTCCTTTTCATTTCAATCACTGGGCATGATCAGAACTGATGTTGTACCTGACAATGCCATTTCTTCGTGTGGTCTTGCTCCCTTGAAGTTGTATCTGAGAAGGAGCAGTCACTCACAGTTGGTGACATATTGATCACCAAATGGACCTGAACTGTGGATTACTGTAAACATGGATTCAATGATTCCAGTTCAAGCCAGACATGGTGGTACACAACTGTAAATCCCAGCAGTAGGGGAGCCGAGGCAGCAGAACCCCAGGTTCAAGGGCAACCTAGTGTATATAACAAGATACTGTTTCCAGAAAACTCACCTCTTCCCCACTGAAAGCACTGGCCTCTGAAGTTGTTCTGCACCACCGTAGACCCCACGTTGATGGCACACACCTTTAGTTGTCACTCTCGTAACTCTTCCCTTGCAGTAACAAAGAAGACCAGAAAAAGTCCATATTTCAGAGGTCAGAGCGGGGCGGGTTCCGGCTGAAGGATGCTGTGCAGTTCCACCTGTACATCAGCACCTCACCCTGCGGAGATGCCCGAATATTCTCTCCCCACGAGCCAGTGCTAGAGGGTATGACGCCAGAATCTCAGCAGCTGACAGGTTTTTAAGAAGACATAATATAATGTAGTGTTATAATGCATCCGCATCAGTGTTCTTTTGTTTTCTTTGTTTCGTTTTTTTTTAAAACTTCAGCCTTAGGTGCGGATTTGAAAAGAGTCCCCGTAGAAGTATACATTCTTTCTTCCCAGTTAATCATTTAGTTTGAGAATTTCAGTGAATGAAAAAAATGCTAGCTCTAAGAGGAAGGTGCTAAGTGATCCCTGTATTTGCAGTGAGCGCCAACTGGTGAGTGTGTGGCGGAAGCCTGAGGCTGCTCTACAGAAGCAGAGAACACAGGCAGTTGAGGCCCCTAATGTTATGTGTCCCGTCCTTTGGAGGCCAGCCCAGCACTGCGGCTTTATGACAGTTTGTGTGTAATGTGTGTACATCCCTGCTCTCATGTCTAAGCACCATGTATTCCAAATGGATTTTCCTTGATTATAAAATCAGTAATACTCAAATAATTACTATTTTTTAAGAAAATTATAAGAAATTAAAGTCATCCATATTTATATATGTCATTGCTAATCGCTGGGAATATCTTCACATGCTCCCAATGGATTGATTTCTGTGTTTGTCTCTATTTATTCTTGAAATGATAAAAACAGAGAGGTTAACAATATAACAAGCACTCAAGTATCTGTCACTCAGAATTAGCGAATCTTAGCCTTTTCCTCCATTTGTTTCCACTACTAATGATGGAAATCATCTCAGCTAAGATGTAAACCACCTTTTTCCATGTTCATAAACGTAGTCTGTATTGTCTCTTTTCAATTTTACATATTTACTGGAATGTATATTTTACATGGATGGAATAAATGTTTGCATATAAATATCTATAAATTATACTTTAAATTTTAGCATGCTAGATGTGCTTTTCAGTAAGTTAGCTGTTTTATTGCCTGTGGGTTTTGAACCCTCTCTTTCTTTTAGAACCAGCAGATCGACATCCAAATCGCAAAGCAAGGGGACAGCTACGGACAAAAATAGAATCTGGTGAGGGGACAATCCCTGTGCGCTCAAACGCCAGCATCCAGACCTGGGATGGGGTGCTGCAGGGGGAACGGCTGCTCACCATGTCCTGCAGTGACAAGATAGCACGGTAAGGCCACATGGGCCCGCACCCCACCATGCCAAGCCCTGTCCATGCTCAGGTGTTCCAAAGTTCTCTAAGGACTGAGGTTGTACACAAGTGCTTCCAGGGTAGTCTGGAGGGGGCAGGGAGACCATGGCATAGGACACTCCAGTTTTTCCACACCATTTGCTTCAGAACGTCATCTTACCTTTTATTCTGTCCTTTTCAGCACAGGTATCAGGGTTAAGCCGATTGTATTGGACATTCTACAGACGAAGCTATTTTACACAGTTTGCTCCCTGAGGAAAACATGCAAAGATTTCCTTATTAGCAGGGAATGCAGTGTCCATAGTGATTGCTTTGCCTATTAGTTGACACTGTGGTAATTGATCTTTACCAACTAGAACAGTGTGAGCCATCCCAGACCAAAGCTAGCGCTCCATGAACATGCTGCTCTAGTTACCACATGCCTGGGAAGCAGCTTCTCATGGGAGCTTAGATCCAGGTCAGATTTTAGAATCTGTTTCCTCAGATGCCAGTGTAAGTTCCAGTGGCTCTTCTGTTTTTATGTTTCAGCTAATGTATTTCAGTGGGTGATGGAAAATACTAAAAAGTACAAATGCATGTAAAATCAAACCTCTCTATAGAACACACCCCTGTGGCACCAAAGTAGGCGGTTCTGGACTGGCCACCCAGAAGATTTGGAATTGACATAGATATAGTGCATGTGTCTCTTTTCGCCCCTTTGCTTCAGATGAGTCATTTGCCCAACCTGATGTGTCCTAATGGCTGAGGGAGGCACAGGTATGGCATGAAACTAATCATCATTCATCTCTTTAGTGTTGTAAGTGCTTTGCATTGAGTTTTCTCCAAGATGGGTTTCATAGGGAAGCCATAAGACTCAGAGCTGGATTAATCATACATATGCCTTGGACCATTGTCCCCAAGCACTGCTGCAGGTTGGGTAACGTAGCTAAAGAAAAGAAAGAAAAAGATTCAGAGGACCAGAAGTGTGTGAGGTTTTGGAAGCTGTTTGAGTTTTGAAATGTTTATGTAGACTCTACCAATTGAGCATACCTAACTGAAAATCCAAAACCTACATGCTCCAAACTCTTAGGGCTTTAATGGCTGCCTCTACTGCTGTGGCATGTTTACTCTTCATGTGTCTTTCCAGTCTGCTGTCCAGATGCTTCTCTGTTTGTATGTGTATACGTGTGCTGTGAGACTTACTAGTGCTGTGTGTGTCAGCATTTAAGTGTTTGTGTGTTGTTAATTCTCGAGATGCTGTTACATGCTAAGTCCCATTTTGTTTCTCGTTTCCATTCAATTGTATGACTTTTTTCTTTATGTAAGTCATTATTTCTGAATCAAGTATTCTCACTTAGTCATGGGCTACTCCCATCAGGATGGACACTGGGATTTACTTTGGCTGTCTTCTTCCTGCACCCTGACTTCAGGAAGCTTGTAACAAGCTGTGCTAGGGCCTCTGGGAGTTTAGGAGTCTCACAACTAACTTCACAGAGGGTATCAGGTTGTTGTCACCTTAGCCTACCCCCTGTGTACATATGTTTGCTCCCACCACATTTTAAAGGCAGACATCTTGAGATTTGCATTTCTTCTCTTATTACTGGGGATGTGGAACAGATGTGAACCACTAATTGTTTTCGCCATCTTTAAATTGTATATTTGTATCCTTTGCCCATTTGTCTTTAGACTGCTTTTGTTTGAAGCCTTTATCTTATCCCTGTTTTTTAATATTTACTTATTTTATTTGTATATGTGAGTGCCTGCACACATATATGAATACTATGTGCTTTGTATGGGAGAGTGCCATGTGCATGCCTGTTGTTGACTGCACAGTGGTTGTGAGCCCCCATGTGGGTGCTGGGACCTGAACCTGGATCTGCTGCCGAGCCAACTCTCCAGTCTTGGCCCTTTTCTTCTTGATTTGGAGAGATCCTTTTATGTTTGGTATTACTGTCATCCTTAAACCTTTGAGACGATTCGGTGCCTTCTCCAAATCCTTGCCATTGAGTGGTCTTGGCATCTGCTGGAGATGGTGAGCAAGCGTGTGAGGGCCCGTCTGTAGACAGCACCTTCTATTCTGTCGCACGGTGTGTTTGTATGCCAGGGTCACATTGTTTTAATTACTTACCTTTATACCATTTTGAAATCAGCATCAACCTTCTTTTTTTTTTTTTTTTTTTTTTTTTTTTCCCTAAGTTGTTTTGGCTTTCCAGACTTCCTGGAGATTTCATAAGAATTTTCTGCATCCCGTTGCTTTTGTATGTTTTGTTTTTATTTTCATGCATGTAAGTTCCCTTGCAACTTTGGTTTGTTGATGTCTTCAGGGCATAACATTTCATTTCCATAAACTTATTTTTTCAATTTGCATTTTACTTTGATTTATAGTTTTACTCTGTTATGAATGGAAAGATACTTGCGTGATTTAGTTTTTCTTGTGTAGTCTGCTTTTCTACAGTGGAGTGTTTTGTTCGTATTAGATTCAAATGGTCAGCAGTATTCTAAATCTCTTGCTTCCATTTTGCTCTTCCATCTGATGTATGCATAGGTGAGTGGGGGTTGGCATTTCTTCACGTTATTATGTTGCCACCTATTTCCTCTTTAAGGTCTGTCATGGTTTGTTTCATGTGTTCAGAAGTTCTAAGGCTTGTTGTGTGATATTCATAGGTTTGTGTGTCTGTTTTGCAGGTGGAAGTCAGCGGATGTTTGCAGAAGTTGGTTCTCTCCTTCCACTATGTGGGTCCCAGGGATCTAACTCAGGTCGTTAGTGTCCTTACCCATTGAGCCACTTTGCTGGCCGGATAGATGTGCTATGTTATCTTGCTGGTGAACTGAGCCCTTTATCATCCTATACTATCTTTTGTCTCTTCTGAGTTTTTGTAGTTTAACATCTATATTATCTAGTTATTCCTGTTCATTTGGTTATCTTTTGCACAAAATACCTCTTTTATCCTTTCACTTTTCAGCCTAGCTGTGTCCTTAGATCTGAAGTAAATTTCTTAATATACCCTGTTATGCTATTAATCCATTTGTTAATCTGTTTTTTTTTTTTTTGGCTGGGGAGTTTAGTCCATTAACATTTAAAGTATTCTGGGTAGGGAAGGCTTACTTTCTTATTTCTATGTGGCATGCAGTTTTATTTCTCCCTTTATTGATTTACTCTCTTACTGACTTTCTTTTAAAATATCCTCATAGGAGTCTCATTTCTTTTTGTACTTTTCTACAGAACTTCCTTTGTGGCTGTGATTTTTGTAGAGATTTTTAAAAAATATGTACATGTGTGGCAGGGGTCTCTGCAGGTGTGTGTGAAGGCGAGAAGTATTGAAGAGCACTGGAACTAGACTTACAGGCAGTTGTGAGCCCCCTGACGTGGATCCTGGGAACCACGTTCATGTTCTGTAGAAGAGCAGTACCTCTTAAATGTTGAGTTGTCTCTCCATCCCTGAAGTTACGATTCTGATTACATAAAACATCTTAAAACTGTAGCATTCTATTTTAAACTGATGATGTAACTTCAAATACATATAAAAACTCTTCCTTCTAGCTCCACCCCCTCATGCTTTGTCAGTAGCACAGATTGTCTTTGTGTATTTTATACCCATGTACATAGATCTACAGTCGAATTTACTTAATTCCAGATAATCAAAATTACCTGCCAGGTACAATGGTGGATACCCAATCCTAGCACGCAGATATTATAATACATTAAAACATATATTTATTATATATAATAGTTCTTTAAGTTATATTTTTACTCCTGAGTATGTGTATGTATCTAAGTTTTATGCATAAGAATGCCATAAATGTGAGGGTGACTGTGGAGATGAAAAAAGGGTGTTGGGTCCCTTGGAGCTGGAGTTACAGGAGGTTGTGCACCAGGTGACACAAATGAACCAGTTCCCAGGTCTGAGTGAATGCTCTTAACTGTTTGGCTGTCTCTCCAGTACCTGCAGTTACTGTGTCTGTCTGTGTGTTTGCCTATGCTCTTACACAGTTTTCTGTTGCTGACTCCTCTTCTGACTCTTCATCTTGAAGGACTCCTGTCTGTCTCTTCTTAGGCCTGGTAGTGACAAATTCTGCCCACTGGCGATCCCTGAGACATAAGTCTTCTTCATTCATGAAGGGGACTTTGAGGACATTTTCCCATTCCTTCCCCGTTCATAAAGTTTTTACTGAGAAACTGATAAGCTCTCTTTATGTGAGCATTGACTTTTCACTGCTGTTTCTTAAGATTGTTTGTCTTGACTCAGATTGATTGAAATCCACTCACTGTTATTTTCCTTATATTTATGCTCATTTTTGTTCTTTGCCCTTGAATCAATGTAGTCCCTTTCTTTCCTTGGTGTTTCGGGCATTTCTTCAAATAAACTTTTATCCCTTTTCTCTTCCTCTTTTGGAATTCCCAGGGCCTACATGCCATTCTGTTTATTGGTATTCATAAGTCCCATACCCTGTTTTCATCTATATTCTCTGTACTTTCTTAATCTTCTCTGCTGATGGTTTTGATGGCCAGTGTTCAAGTTCACTGGGTTTTTCTCCCATTGATTTCAAGGCCAAGTTTTTCAGTTCAAGTGTTTTCTTCATGTTCAGACTTTCTCATGTATTGATATAGTAACATCATTTTGTTTATGTAGTCTTCTTGTAGCATTGAGTGCCTGTGTTCTCTTTTAGCTCATTAGATATCTTTATGTCAGTTACTTTAAATTATTTGCCAGGCCACTCATAGATCTGCATTTCTTTAAGGTTGGGTTCTAGAAATGTATTATTACTCCTTAGGTCCATGCTTCTATTTTCATTTTTTGGTACCTTTTATTTATTTACTGAGCTGGGATTGAGCATTTAGAAAAGGAAACACCTCTCCCAGCTGATGTATATTGGCTTTGTGCAAGGAAGTGCTTCCTAACTAAGTTTGGCTTTTCTAAGTTCTTGGTTCCCTGGGACCTGCCTACCAGTAGAAACAGGTCCTAATCTTTTGCTTGCTTAGTCTCAGTAGCTTCTAAACTCTAGTCGCATCCCATCACTGCCTAATCAGCCAAGACAGATGCCAGTCCTCTGAGCAGGCTTCAGATAGGCAAGATGCTGGTTTATGACCTCCCCCATTCCATCTCAAAGTATGAAGGCTTCCCCAAGCACTCTATACTTTTCCTTGTAGGGAGTTGGACCAGCCACAAAAGGCTTGCCAGAAACCATGCACTTTCCTGTCCCTTCATCCCTTCACTGCTATCTCTGCTCAGTTTTATAGTGGTCTGGATCTTATAGATTCTCAGTTAAATACGATTTCTAACATTAATATTTACCAAAGTTCCACTCTGGTAAAAAAAAAAAAAAAAAAAAAAAAAGCCATATAGTAGTAAGAAAAGAACTCTAACCCTCAATCAGCATCAAGTTAGAGTCTAGATTAGAAACAACCTTGATGCTTTGCAGCTCAAAGGCACTGGTTTGAAGGTGTGCTGAACGAGAGGCATCTGCCTTTGGCTGAAGGTAAGTCACACAAACAAATGCCAAAGTCAGAATTCTTAAAACTCTGTGTCTTTTATTTCATATTAAAGAAACATTGCTTTGAGCAAAAGCATAGGCAAATTGATAGAAATAGGAATGACATAAGTTTTCACAAAAGACAACAAAGCTGAGAAATGGCTGCTCAGGAAAATCATGGTCCAAGAATAGCAAAGGGGCCAGAATGATGTCAGTTAGATGCAGGGCCTCCAAAGAGGCCACTGTGGAGATCTGAACAGATATGTGCTCAGCAGAGGCCACTTTTTTCCCTTGAAGAAGAGCACTACAGCATTCTGAAACAGATGGAAAATTTAGGGCTGCCATAGGCTGAGGGTAGGAGGATGGCACTAGAGGTCACCATAGCATCCAAGTGGCCATAGAGTGAGGGCAGCCCCAGAAAGGTTGCCCTTAGGACAATGAGAGGCCCTATGAAGAGGCCTGAGAATCTTCCTGGGACTGCTAAGTCTATGGCCTCTGCTGCCCGAGGATGCAAGAAAAGACAGATCCAAGAACAGACAGGAGGCTTGTTTGTCTCATTCACTTGCTCAGGGCAGATGGTAGGTATGCAAGGCCCGCTTCATGGACAGGGAAGGGACCTTCCACAGAGGCAAGGGAAGCTCCTAGAAGAGCCTCACTGCATGCAGGTATACATGGATTTCTCTGAAGACTGTGACATGAAAGCAGAGGGGAAAGAGACCCACAGCAAGGTACTATCCTGAATGGGCTGTTTGTCTGAGCCAGGCTGTGGAAAGAGGTCATGATTGAGTCAGTGTGGTGCTCTTGCTGTATGTTTTCTGGTCAGTGTCCTTGGGTGCTCAGGGCCAGGTCAGGCTCTGCAGTAGATCAGTTGACAGCACTGTGTAGCCCATCCTCAAACAATAATCTGAGGAAAACAAAAACAAAAAAGCCACAGACCAGCCCTGAGCCCAGCATGACAGTCCTAAGGCCAGGAGGTGGGAGTACCTATTATCTTCTGCTGACAAATGAGTCCCCCTTTCTGGGGCCTGAGCAGGGAAGCTCCTCATCCAGTGCCCTGGCCCAGGTGGACATGGAACCTGGGCAGACATATCTAGACGTAACCACACACACTGTGTTTGCAGTGTGTGTGTGCATGTATGAAGGTTACTTGGTGGATGGATGCTTTGCCACATGGAATCTGGCTGTATCTGTGGTGTTCTTGTACAGTGGTCTGTGGTCTGGGAAAGTGGGTGTGACTATTCTCTGTAAGGCTGATTGACATGAGCTTGTCTTTCAGTAGAGCTAGCTGAGGAGCTCTGTTCTCTGCCTAGTGCCTCAGAGCTCTAGAAGCTCCTGGGATCTCCTAGGAAGTGTGTGCTCAGAATTAATGACTCCTGACAGATGCTGGTTTCTGCAAGATTCTGCATTACTACCCAGGGGACTGAGTTCTGCTAAAGTCATCTAAATCAGCAGGGTTCTCATCTGCATCAAAAGGAGCCCTTGGGCCTCCAGAGCTGAATCATTTTGGATGTTCTCTAAGGATTGAGAAGGCTGTTTTAATTTCCTTTTTGGAGGGTAGAAAGAATACATTCTGGGAATTATGGGTTGTCCATTCAGCATTTTGACCTTCTTTGTGGGGGCTGAGGAAGATCACAGTGACTAGAAGTATAAGTTATGTGAAAGGCTGGTGAGGGAGTTCAGTGGGTCATGCACGTGTTCCCAGTCCTCTAGGCTGAAGCAGGGAGACCAGGTTGCCTGGAGGCCAGGGCTGAAGCTCGAGGGGAGCTGGTAAGAGAGAGCTGGCTGTTGGACATGTGCTATTTTCTGGACACCTGCTGAGGGGAGGGTCCTTCAAGGGAGTGGACTAGACCAGCCAGTGTCTTCCCAGGGTTGTGCCGGCTGCTGCAGGGAGAAATGGGCCAGACCTCTTGCTTCCTTCAGGAGAGGGCTCAAAGGCAAGGGCAAGAGTGGCATCCTTTGACCCAGGCCTAGGTGTGATGTTAGCCAGAAGTCAGAGCCTACATCTGTTCTTAAAGCAGATTCTTAAGATTTGCTGTGATGGCAGGGGAGAGATGAAGGTGATGCTAGGTGTAGCCGAGAATGAAAAAAAGAAGCAAAAGGAGGATATCACTGCTCAGGTATGGTGGAGGAGAATTATTATAGATATAAGGGAGAGTGTAGCCAGAGGCATCTGGAAGGGTCCAGAAAGAACATGACCAACCAGCCTTCTGAACAGAACCATGTGAGGAGAAGGGAGAGAAAAAGAGGAGAGAGAGGAACCAGGAGCAACAGCCAAGAAAGGACCACATAGCTAAAATGGCTGGGTTACATAGTGAAGAGTAGCTACGGTAAGGGCAGTCCAGCCAGGGAGACTTTGTAACAAGTAGGGACTCAGGAATGCTGAGAGAACCTGGCAGCCAGCGTCTGCCTTGATGTTAATTAGTACCTCAGCTCTTTGTCCGAGCTTGAGACCTAACGGGCCTGAGCAGCTGGAGGCAGATGGCTAAAGCTTGACTGGGTACAGCTCTACCCAAGTGAGTCTCAGCAATTGCTTATGTGGAGACTCCCTGTTGCTTACTGCTCATGACCCACGAAGCACCCATCTGCCTTTTACTCCCTTGCAGGTCAGAGGCTGAAGTTCAGCAGGGGGTCTCCTGGGTATTCAGTAGGTATACAGTGACAGTAGGTCCAGGGTAAGTTTAAGGTTGGGCCTTAGGGGTTTTCCAATCAAGGGTCCTCCTCTTCACACATCTGCTGATGTTTGTAGCATCACTGCTACTTTCTTGGACTTTTGCTTCATGTACCTCAGGGGCCTTCTGTCCTCAAGTCTCCTCCCCTGTACTATTGACATTACTTTCTAAAATGCAGTGCTAGTCAGTCAGTCTCCATTGACACCTGTGTCAAATGGGATTAAGTTACTTCTAAGTCTCAAGTCCTCCAGAATCGGCTTAGGATGTCACCCTTCCCCTTAGTGGTTTCTGGCCACCTGGATAAACCTTGTCTTCTGGCCTGTCCTACCTCTCCATGATTATCCCCTCCCCCCCCACCCCATCCCAAATCACTTGTCCCAAAGGCTGGAGTATGTCCTCCTGCATGCCCTCTTTAGGGCTATGCCTCAGGATTAGCTCAAGGAGCATTTCCTAAAGTTGGTAACCGCCTCTGTGTGTAGTCTCTCTCACTCCTTTTCTCACAGAGCCCTGTACTCTGCCTTAAACTGCTTGTGTCTCAGTTCCTCGATCTTCATCTGTTTGTTTGCCTTTTTGGTGCTTTATTGTTTAGCACCTGGCCTGTGTTTTCTCCTGTCTTCTTCCATCACAAAAGTTGCTTGGTTTTCAGTGGTTTCCAGGTTGCTCTGCTTCTCTGATCTGTGAGGTGAAGAGAGCAGGCACACAGTAGGCCAGTGGTATGTCAGTGTTGCCACTGCAGATGTCAGTCGGTGGTGTGGTAACTGCCAGCTTGTTCTCACTCTCTGTCTCCAGTGCATGCACCACAGTTGTTACCCCTTCCCCCACCATGGGGCCACCATCCTCTGAGGAGCTTCCCAGGAGACACAGCCCTAGATCCCTGATTGAGCAGCCGTTCAATTAGAAGGAGGGAAAGTATACATAGTTGCCCTTGTGAGGTTTCCCTCAAGTTTTTCCACAAGAAACATGTGGGCTTCTCAATACCTTTTAAGAAATAGCCTCCAAGCCCGGCATGGTGGTGCATGCCTGTAATCCCAGCACTTAGGGAGGTAGAAGCAGGCGGATCTCTGTGAGTTCAAAGCCAGCCTGGTCTACAAAGCTGAGTCCAGGACAGCCGAGGCTACACAGAGAAACCCTGTCTCAAAACAAAACAAAACAAAACAAAAAATAACAATGACAACAACAAAACCTCCAGAAAGTGTTGTCCATAAGATTGACCTGGAGGCAAGTCATAGGGCATTTCTTCTTGATTAATGATTGATGGGGGAGAACCCAGCCTAAAGGGGACAATTCCACTAGGCAGATGGTCTTAGATGGCATAAGAAAGCAGGCTGAGCAAGCTGTGGGGAGCAAGCCAGTAAGCAGCATTTCTCCATGGCTTCCGCTTCAGCTCCTGCTTCCAAGTTCTTGCCTTGAGTTCCCACTCTGACTTACCTCAGTACTGGAGAGTGACTGCCCTGAGACTTAAGAGGAAATAAGTCCTTTCCTCCCCCAAGTTGCTCTTAGTTGCGACATTTTATTACAGCAATAGAAACCATAAAACTATGACCCAAAGTTATCTTATGGTACAAGATAATTTTTAAAAAATAATTTAAAATTTGAACTGCCATGTCAGCAGTCTTCACTGCCGTGGTCTTCACCTTTTGCAATCCCTTCAGCATTCTGCATGACTCTGAGCCGTGTCTGTATGTAACGCTGTACCTGTGTCTACTGAGATGTGCTTCCTTCTCCCTGCAGCTGGAACGTGGTGGGCATCCAGGGGTCCCTGCTCAGCATTTTTGTAGAGCCCATCTACTTCTCCAGCATCATCCTGGGCAGCCTGTACCATGGGGACCACCTCTCCAGGGCCATGTACCAGCGGATCTCCAACATAGAGGACCTGCCACCACTCTACACCCTCAACAAGCCCCTGCTCAGCGGCAAGTATCCTTTTGTCACCTTCTTACCTCAGTCCCCTGAGCTCACAGTGTCTGGGTCCTACACATCACCCCACCTGAAGCCAGTGTATAGCTGCCAGGCAGGAGCAAAGTCATTAAAAAGGAAACAAGGCCTTGTCTCTGAGCCTCTTAGCCTGGTCTCCAGAGCTGTTTAAGGCAGTCCTTCTATAAGACAAATGCCTCTCTGCAGCTGTGAACTCTGCTAGTCAATACAGAAATTGCAGGAGCCTGGCACTTATGCTTTCTCATGTACTTTATATTCCTGCCCCTGTGGCAAAGACTTAGGCATTCTTCCCCAGACCAGCCAGGCTGGGGTTTGGCAACCATCCGTCCTCACTCAGATGCTATCCCAAGTGCTGCTGGCATCTGCCCACCAGCCTCCTCTGAGCTGTGGTAGGTATGACAGCTGTGCTGAGCATACCTACCATACCATGCTCTCCTTTATCAGCCCCTTCTCCTGACCTTTACACCTTTGTTACTGGTTTCTTTTCTTTTTTTAGAGTGTCAGTGGCTAACAGTAAAGTGAACAGGAGCTTTTGAATTCAAAGGTCCTAACTTCTAAGCCCACCCTTATTTAAAAGGACACAGTTAAGGTATTTTTACTCTTTTAAAAAAATAACATTTTACTTAACTTCTGTAAGCTCAAAACTAAAACCATATCCTAAACTAAAAAAAATGCTTTTTTTTTTTTTTTTGGGGGGGGGTGCATGTGTACTCTGCCTCAGTGCCTGGCTGCTAGCATGTCTTTAACTGCAAAAAAGCAGTGTGGACTTTTATTTGACAGCATGTCTGTCAGAGCATATGAAGTAAACAGGGAAGGGGAAAGATGGAAGTTATTTAGGATCAAATATTGCAGCTCCCTATTCCTTAATTTTTTTTGTAACCCACAAGACCTGATGCTTAAGTTAAACTTGGAATATTGTTACTTTGGAGTATTGTTAGTGCATGAATTTTTCATGAGTCATGAAATTTTCAGCGTGATACATTTGGAGGAAGACTACTTCATTAACTATAATAAGGTATTTAAGGGTAGATGCTTTATAAAAAGATGTTTGTTTAGCTCACAGTTTTAGACATTGAAAGTCCAAGATGAGGGGGGCTTCATCATTCAGCATCTAGCTCATGTGGGATAGGAAGGCATCACAACAGAGAGTAGAATGCATGCAGAGCCCATGGTGTGGCTGGAGAGATGGCCCAGCAGTTAAGAGCACTCAAGTTCAGTTCCTAGCACCCACCTAGTGGCTCACAACCTCGATAACTCCAGTTCTAGGCAACCTGATGCCTCTTCTGGCTTCCACAGGCACACACACAAATTTGAGAGAGGAACAGAGAGACAGAGAACCTGACCTATGGCAAGAGAGCAAGGTGAGGGTCAGGATCTCCGTTTATAAGAACTTACTGTCCAGGAGCTGACCGGGGCTCTGTAAGAACACTGATCCCCAGTGAGGGTATGTGCCCAGTGACCTACTGCCTCCACTAGACCTCAGCTCTGAAATGTTCCCCCACCTTTGCCTCAGCTCAGTAAGTACAAGCTCCTGAATGTGGCCTTTAGAGAGCACAGTCCAGCCAGATCCAAAACATTTTGAGTGTTAAGCTCTGGTTATCACTATCTTGTATTCATTCATAGAGTATGAGAATAAGATTAGATACAGGGCACACAGATGCCCCAAAGTAACTGATTAGACTATCTAAGCAATATTCCATTCAAGAGCTGAAATCTGAAGTGGACCTCATTTATAAAAGTTAGATGTGTTTTATCATGTTTTATGTATATGAAATTCATCTATATGTAAAAATATGACAAATACCTGCAGGATAGAATGTAAAGTTACTATTGTGTTCCATATTTTTTTAAGAGTACAAAGTATGTAAAATAAAAGTTGTTCACTTCCTCTACATATCATCTCTATTCCCCATGGCCCCTCATGACCCCTTCATTTTTGCAGTCCTTGCCCTTGGCCTACCTACATTCCCACAGACAATGCCTGCAATACAGCCAACAAAGTTGACTCTGCAGGTGGCAAAGGGAGCACAACCCTCTGTTGACTGCCTTGTTGGTAGCTTGTGCACCTGCTTCTTCTTTTTCCCAGTTATTGGGATGGACCAGTACCTTTTCTGATCCTTCTGGATCAGGATTATGGCCCACTTTCAGGAAGCATGGTATGACTCATGGCTGAGCCCCCGGACAGCACCAGGGTCATTGCAGAGTGTAAGCTGCTTCCCTTGAAAAGAGCAGTGCAGTGTGTGTTGCTGCTATTTTGCTTTAATGAGGACACCTTTAGACTAGGATGCCTGTGAGGCTGACAAGGGTTAGCGCCCCCCAAGAAGTCAGGCGTCCCAGGGACTGGGCAGGTAGGCACACTCCTGCTCCCACAGTCCATAGCAAAGTCAGATCCCTGAAGAGTTGAAGATGGAAACAGATACCATAGTGGGTATCACCAGAAACAAAAGCAGTCAGAGAACCTGATACCCTCTTTAATTTGTGAGGTCACACTTTTGTTAAGTCCCCATCATGGCAGACCCTTTGCAGTTCTCTGGGATGTTTTCTTACATCTAAACAAGTGGATTGAACAAAAGGACAATTGAGACATCAGCCAGTTCTGTCAGCCTCTTGCTGAGCTGAGCAGGTGTGGTGTAAAGTTCATGCATTTGTTATAGTTGGAGTTGTGTTGGGAAAACCCTGCCTCCTCCCCTTTTACCTGTGTGAATGGCAGCTAATGTACCATGTGAATTGTCATGTCTTTAGGAAGGAACATAAGTTAACACGCACATAACACAAGACAATTAAAGTTACCAAGACAAAGTGACCTAAAAATTCACAAATCTTGATAGAAAATCCAGCGCTGGGCTGCTTCTTGTTTTGTTTGTTTTAAATGCAGCCACACTTAAAATAAGGAGAATTAAGAACTTACGTCGTTGAGAACCCCCTGGTGCGCTCTGGGCCTTGGCATGAAGCCATAGCTACTACTAATGGCAGCTTAGATTATAGCTGCCACACTCAGCTTCTTAGGCAAATGCTGGGATCCGAACTCGGATCCTTGTCCTCATGCTTGTGGGGCAAGCACTTTACCTCCTGAGCCACCTCCCTGGCTTCATTTCATAGTGATTAGAAATAGAAACCTCTCCAGCTTTCTGAGCAGCTCTTTCCCGATGGCTGCATATCTAGCACTTGCATGTTTCAGGGGAGCCTGGTGTCAGCTCCTGTCCAGCAGGTTCCCTGACTTTGATCATCCTCTGACCAAGACCATTGTCCAAGGCTCATTGAGATACAAGAGGGAAGTCCACTGGTAATGACTCCACCCACAGGAGGGCTCTGGAGCATGGGTGACAGGCTGCTAGGATGGTGTTGGGGTGGACTGGGCTTTTTAGTGCTAGCTTTAAGGGCAATATTATCACAAGAATGGACAAACAAGGGGGCATGGATATATGAATCCTAGGAGTGCGGCCTTTGGGGGAGAGGGGTCCTGGGGAGACAGTAGGACTGCCAGGCCTTGGGGAAGCTGTACTCCTCCCTGCAGAAGTGCAGTGGCTGATCATTGGTGGACTCACTTTTTGTGAAGAAATAAGAGTAACAGTTCACAGTTACTCTGCCTCCCAGCCTAAGGAATTGGTTCTCGGTGGACACAGCTACTCAGAGGACCCCTCCTGCCCATGTCTGGTGGCTCTCTGGGCCACCATGGGCAGGTACCATGTACATGGCTTCCCTTAAAGTTCATGCCTTAGGGCTAAGGATGTAGCTTGGTGACAGAACACTTGTTTTCCATGTGAGGTCCCTTGAGTCAGGCCCCCTGGAAAGAAGGGGTGGGGTGTTCAGTTTCTTATGTGCAGAATAAAGACTAATGAATTTCCATTAATCTACTAGTAAGGACTAATAATTTCTAAAACATGAGCCCATAGTAATCATAAATATCTGTATTGTTCACTACATACACAAAATATATGAAATATGTTTTAGTCCTTGTGAAAGTATATCATTTCATAACATTCAATTATGTGAAGAAATTATTAGAATGTGCCTTTGAAGTAAAAATAAGAAAAATTGTCCGTGCCGGCTCTCCTGATTTTTTCAGCTGAATCCATCGTTAGACCAATTCACAGTTTCTCTGCAGTTTTATGTTAAAAGTTCTTATTTAGCACACTTAATTTACAACAACTGGGGACTCTCATTACCAGCTAAGTCATTCCCGTTTTATTGGTTTCTGTACGGTGCCCTATGATCAACTCATTACCCTAGTTCTTACTTTGCAGCCCCAGAGAGATAAGCTGCTCATGGGTGTCCATCCTCATGATGTGTCAGCCCTGGAGACTTGAAATGTACTCGTGACCGTTTCCAGCCTTCTGTTCAGATAAAGTATATGGCTAGACTGGAACCTTGGGCTAGCTATTTTCTTTTTGCCTTATTTGCTATTTTTGTTAAAGACAGTGGTTTACTTAGCTTAAAATATAAAGGGGGAGGTTTGCACTTTCGAGTTTTACTTCTTAGCTAATTGGCCATTTAGCTTTGATGTAGAACGCCTCAGGTCAAGTGCATCGAATTCATTCAACAACAGTCCTTCATTCTGGGTTTGTCACACAGAAGTAATGCAATTGAAAAGGAAGATGACATAGTACACATAGCTATTTGCATACAAACAATCCAATTTCATTGTGGTCAGAGACTCCCACAAATTGCAGCTAAGTGGACATTCATTCCTCCTCCCCTCAGAAAAGGAACAGTCTTGATATTTTCCATGCAGCAGTTGGGTAGCTCAACAACAAATCCAGAAGAAGCAGTCTCAGAGCCTAAGATGAAGCTGAAGCAAGGATCCATGTGAGAAACTTCAGAGGGTGGTGTTCTCAGAGGAAATGATGTGATTCATTAAGTAGCCCAAGATGCTGAGTTGTCCAGCAAAGCTGCAGCCTTGAACAGGATCATTTTCCTTCACACTCGTCAGGAAGCTGTCTTAGCTGTTAAAATGCTGGGTAGGCTGAGCACACATACT